GKTYCSTGCTGGCTSCCTCACCCGCTGTGCCAGCTCAGGKGTCAGGCTCTCRCACACGCGCTTGGCGTGGCCCACCAGCGCCCAGGTGAAGGCAGCGTTGGTCCCCAGCTCCTGCTGCACGGCTGTCATCAGCTGCAGACAGTCCCCACACACCTCTTCCATCTCCTGCAGGGTAACAAGGRTAGAGACAAACTGGTACCCTCCAGAAATAAAACCAACCTCCCCTGCCAATACCTGCATTTGCAGGGCTGGGATTTAAATGCTGGCTGCAACATGGGGCAGCATTTTGACCAACATCTTTCTGGTTCCATCCTTCACCCTGCAATATCCCCCCCAAATTGGTGACACCCCTAGCCAGAAGTCATTGCAGCTGTGCAATAATTTTATCGGCTTTCTCTAGTTGTTGTTAAATAAATGATGCTTTTAGGGAATTCTCACCCTTGAGCAGCATCAAGACACTGGTACAGGTTGKCCAGAGAAGATGTGGCTGCCCCACCCCTGGAAGTGTCCAAGGCCAGCTCAGATGGGCCTGGACCAACCTGGACACTCCTTGTCTATGGCAGGGGTTTGGAAGGAGGTGATCTGTAGGGTCTCTTCCAAACCAAACCATGCCATGACTACACGATCAGCGCACGGTACCTGGTCCTCGCCGAGAGGCAGGTCCTGGGGATGGAGCAGGAGGGGCACGTTGGCCATGAAGGGCGCGATCAGGTCAGCAAAGTCCTCAGTGGAACCCGTGGGTGGTGGCTTCTGCAACTTCAAGGTCGCCATGGGTCTGTCCCGGCGCTGGCACAGCTTGATGGTCCCACACACCACCTTGGGTTCCGACTGGGGGGGCACAGGGGTGGGGGCTCGAGGCTGCATCTGCCCCATCACCCTCACCCCACGTCAGCCATCCTCCTGGTCATTTCTATCTCCATCTCATCCTTCAGACTGTTTATCCCAGCTCCAGGAGCCTCCTTTACTCTCTAAACCCCAAAGACATCCCAAGCTACAAAGAAACCCAAAGCCAGGGGCTTCCCCTGCGTTACCAGCACTTGCTTGCCCAGCTGGACAAGGACAAGGATGCCGGTGTCCACCATCCTCTTGCACTTGACAGACCAGTCCTGGAAGGGCAGGTACTGGCATCTCTTATCCAAGAAGAGCCTCAGCTTTTCCTGGGTGACAGAGAGAGTGTTCAGGGCGTCAGTGGTGCTGGGAGGTGGGGAGGAACACCGGCCCCACACCCCCTTCCCGCTGAGACCCACCTCGGTGCGGTTGTCCTGCAGGATCTTCCCCACCACAGACACTGCCACCTGGCACAGGTGACARGGTATCCCCTTCTGCTGAGAGAGAAGGGACACATCGGGATGCTGACACCACATCCAGACTCACTCCTTGTCCCCAGATCCCAATCCTCCACCCCACACAGGGCACTTGGGAACGTCCCGGGGAACCCATTGATTTTTGCAGGCACGTTGCTGCCTGAAGGCACCAGATGCCGGGGCGGACAGGCCGGATTCTCCTCCCAGCTCCCTGTTTTGGGGCAGACGGGCACTTGCTCCCCAGGCCCCCGCGTTCCCTGCTCGCAGCACGGTTACCCCCAGCGTCCGGTCCCACACGGTGAGCCGGCACAGCTCCAGTGCCCCGCACTTGGCCGCGGTCTCCACATCCCGRCACCAGTCCTCCGGCCGCTCGCCACACTCGTGGAGGGGGCTGGCCCCGGCTGTGGGAGGGGAGGGGAGAGGAGAGGAGAGGAGACTGTCAGCCCACCAGGCGCCCCAAGACACCAAACTAACCTCACCTCACTGGGGGTGATGCTCCTCACCGTCCCGCTGTGAGGCTCAGCTCCTAGAGCGGTTTATAAATGATTTTTTGGTTTATAAATTATTTTTWAGTTTATARATTATTKTTTAAGGTCGGTTTCSCCAGGTCACTGCCTGCTGCCAGCTTTTCCCATGGGATGTCACAACGTCAACAGCGAAAGAAATTTGGGGCTCATCCTCAGCCTCACAGCACCCTTTGACAGGCTGCAGAGGCGGCCGCTTATAAAAGCAGCAATAAATCTTGCAAAACGGGCAAACACGGGCGCCGGCGCTCAGCCCCGCACGGCAGCCTGACAGTCACGCCACGGCTCCCGGCAACGATTGAGCAACCCCMCTTTTTGGTAGGGTGTTTTCGGTTTTATTTCCTCCCCACGACAGCATTTTCTCCGCRCTGTAAATCCCCGGCACGGCATCTCCCGCCCCGGCAGCGCGGTGGCGTGGCGCAACAGCAGCGCTCTAATTGTCACCTTGGTGTGTCAGGACTCAYTGCTGATGGGGCGAGGGCTTGTTTCCGCCGGGAACTGTGCCCACCCAGGATGCGGYTGCCGAGGAGGCGAGGAGGGGGCACAGCCCAAGCCCTTCGCTGCCTCGCTTTGYCCGGGAGCTGCTCCGGGAATTTGGGAGGCGGATGGAGAGCAGCACACGAGCAGAGCTGACGTGCTCAGACGTTTCTGAGCAAAGCACACCCCTCCCCACTCCAAGAGTTTGCCTCCAGCTTTGATCCCCAGCCCTGTCTATGATTTTGCACAGCGGGAACAAAGCCAAAGGCAGAAGCTGCTCCTTCCACCCAACCCTGTGGGTTATCCCGTTTTACCCCAAAAGCTGCTTTTCCTGCAGCCTGGATTACGGCATCGCCTCCAGCGGATCCACGAGACGGCACCGTGAGGTGTCCAGGGCCACCCTGGAGAGTTCCCGGGGCTGGAGGTTTTGGGGATGGGTCTCCCAAGCCCCCCACCCGTCCCGCCTGCCCCCCAAAGCGCTGGCGCAGCTCGGCGGGTGCCGGGTGCTGTTTCCGCAGCGATTTCCCCATCGGGCTGACGGCAGCACCGGGGCAGGCGAGCCCCGGGGCAGGGCGAGTCCCCCCGGTTTCCCAGGCTTCCCACACACCTCCCGGCCTCGCCATGCCGCGCTCGCCGCATCAGCTGAGAGGGATATATTTATTTTTTCAACYCCGGCCCCAGCATCAGGGCAAACAGGAATGGCGAGTCAGCGGAGGCATTAAGGGCCAGCACCAAAACCCAGGAGAGGGGAGACAACAACCCCACGGCTTTTTTTCTGAGCTGGTCCCTCAGCATCTCTCATAGCCCCACAGTGTTGGAACCTGGATCCCGAGAGGGGAGTCGGGTGCTCTAAAAGACACCACACGAGTGGTTTGGTCCTGCACTTTTCACAGTGGGCCTCAGCTTGGCCCTTACTCCTCACCCGCTCAAGCTGAAACTCAGACAGCAAGTGCTGCACCAGGAAAGTAATTAGGACTAATTGTAGCACCCGCCTGCTGGGAGCAGGGGGAGCTTCCCGCGGTGGAAACCACTTGCCACGGGGCAAGCAACTGGGGARACTGGTGTCCCATGACCTCTGCTGCACGTTTCGAAGCCGTGCCGGGCACACAGGCAGCCGGGCAGGAGRTGATGGCGTTTTTGGCAAAGGACAAAGGCAGGGYTGCTCCCGTGTCGCTGGGCGGCCCRAGGCCAGMAGAARTGCCCTRTTCTTGTCTGCCAGAGCCCTGGGATGGGGTGGGCTTTGCACRGAGGGGATCCAGCACTGAGCTCCAGCTCTGGCAGGGCTGTGCTGGCATTCCACGGGGGCTCGGAGCGCCCCGGCCGAGCCGGCAGAGCCTGGCGAGCCGGTTGTGACGTAAAGCCCGGGGGTGGCAGCGTGGGCCCCAGCGCCCCAGTTCCCGGCCTGGCACACGCCCCTGTTACAGCAAGAACCATAAATAGGCTCTTCCCAGCTCCCAAATCCTTCTCTGAGGCTCGCGGGGTCCCCAGATCCGCAGCACCCCCGTRCTGTTGGGGCCAAGCCCCGGCGGCTCCCGGGACAGGTGTCACCCAGGGCTGGAYGTGCCCAGCRCAGGTGAACTTTCCTGCTCTGCCTGTTGCTGCCTGGAACACCTGGACACGTCCCCCACACCCCACGTCACGCGTGCGCAGCCACAAGTGTCACGTCCTCCGCCACAAAGCCTGGACGGGTCACATCCTAGGCTGCAAGGGGGGCTCTTCACCCTAAAACATGCAGGGGGTGCATACAACAGTGGGGCTCCACTGATTCCAGGGAAGATTTCCCCAGGAAGCTGTGACTTGCCCTCAAGGCAAGGACCAGGGGTCAGAAACAGGCTTTCCCCAGCTGGTTTACTGGGGATGGCCATGACTAAGGGACGGMAGCAGARGATTCGCTCTCAGGTACCCAAAGTYCCGATGRSGAGAGGACTCCAGAGATGAGTCRAGCACATCACSCCATCACCCRTCCCGCAGCTCGGCAAGCCACAGCARAGGAGGCTTCYTGCCTCCTGCATTTCCTACGAGGAGCCTCAGGAAMGGGGCAGCTTCAGSTGGCACCGTGGTCACTCTGTTGTGACAACCAAGTGCCCTCCCCCAGCTCACATGTCAGCAGCCAGCRGCAGAAAGAGCAGCCCCCTTCCCCCACTGCAGAAACATCCCATTATCTGCCTGCCCGCCTGGCAAAACACCGGGAGCACCTGAGTCCCAGAGAAGGGAGAAAAGAAACCCCTTTTTGCCCTGAAATAACCTTTAAGGGCAGAAGCAGCACTCRTACCGAGGCAGTAAAGCAGGCAGTGATGCCACCATCCCAGCTCTCCTCTACCCAACTGCAGCACCAGAGGAATGAGGGAGCACAACATGGAGCTTAGGGAGCAAAGCTGGGAATAGTTTTGAGATTCAGCAGGGTTTTCCGGSCTCTCCACGTCCTACCTACCCCCAAGCCTGGCCTTACCTTGGTAGGAGCCCAGGCACACAGAAATGATCAGCACCAAGCCACTCCATTTGCTCGCCATGCCGTTCCTAAGAGTCTTCAGTGGCTGGTCCCTCTTCTCTGCTGCTCCCAGACTGAGGAATCTTGGATGGGCTGGGAGAAGCAGTGAGAATCCACACCTACGCAGGGCAATTACCACACCCCTCACTTTATGCCTTGATTATAAAATCATCACCAGGGAGGGAGGGACCAGAGCAGGGCAGGGATTCCCAGGTCAGAAGCAGCCCAGAACCTGCTGCTCAACGCTAACCTGGCTGCAGAGGGTGGGTRAGGACAGGGAAAACTGTCCTAGGGCCATGTGACAGCACCACGTGCCCAGCCTTTAAAAGCCATTTTTATATTGTATTTGAAATCAACCAAAGAATGGGGACACAAGGGAAGCCACATTAAATGCGAGTCAGCAGGGAAGGCCAGTATCAAGAAGTCCCTGTGGCCTGTGCAAGGCAGTGATTGCAACACGGGGCTGTTGCCTCACACCAGGCGTTGTGTTTGTCCAGGGAAGAGCAGCAGCAATCCCTGACAAGCCTCTTCCATCTGCAATCCTGCTCAGCAGAACAAAGGCTTGATGGGACACGCAGCTTAATGGAACCTGAATCCTTTCAGTCCC